GTCAGTGATGTTGGTTCATCTTTTACGTGATCTGATGACTGGCACCTATACAAAACAGTCAGTGATGTTGGTTCATCTTTTACGTGATCTGATGACTGAAACCTTTACAAAACAGTCAGTGATGTTGGTTCATCTTTTACGTGATCTGATGACTGACACCTTTACAAAACAGTCAATGGTGTTGGTTCATCTTTTACGTGATCTGATGACTGGCACCTTTACAAAGCAAAGTCAGCGATGTTGGTTCATCTTTTACATGATCTGATGACTGGCACCTTTACAAAGCACAGTCAGTGATGTTGCTTCATCTTTTACGTGATCTGATGACTGACACCTTTACAAAGCACAGTCAGTGATGTTGGTTCATCTTTTACGTGATCTGATGACTGGCACCTTTACAAAACACAGTCAGTGATGTTGCTTCATCTTTTACGTGATCTGATGACTGACACCTTTACAAAGCACAGTCAGTGATGTTGGTTCATCTTTTACGTGATCTGATGACTGACACCTGTACAAAACACAGTCAGTGATGTTGGTTCATCTTTTACGTGATCTGATGACTGGCACCTGTACAAAACACAGTCAGTGATGTTGGTTCATCTTTTACGTGATCTGATGACTGGCACCTTTACAAAGCACAGTCAGTGGTGTTGGTTCATCTTTTACGTGATCTGATGACTGGCACCTTTACAAAGCACAGTCAGTGATGTTGGTTCATCTTTTACGTGATCTGATGACTGACACCTTTACAAAACACAGTCAGTGGTGTTGGTTCATCTTTTACGTGATCTGATGACTGGCACCTTTACAAAGCACAGTCAGTGATGTTGGTTCATCTTTTACATGATCTGATGACTGACACCTTTACAAAACACAGTCAGTGATGTTGGTTCATCTTTTACGTGATCTGATGACTGGCACCTTTACAAAACACAGTCAGTGATGTTGGTTCATATTTTACGTGATCTGATGACTGGCACCTTTACAAAGCACAGTCAGTGATGTTGGTTCATCTTTTACGTGATCTGATGACTGACACCTTTACAAAACAGTCAGTGATGTTGGTTCATCTTTTACCTGATCTGATGACTTCCTGCACAAAACACCATCAGTGGTTTGGTGTGTCTGTTGGATCTGATGACGACCTGAGACAATTTGTACTTGAATGTTTTTGGATGAACACCTTTCATAAACAACACAGACAAGGTCAGTTTGTGCATCTTTTATAAAGTGATCTGATGAATACCTTCGGTACAAAACAATGATGCAATGGGCAAGCAGTATGTTATACAGCTTCAGCGCACATGACTGTACAATCATTAGACAAATAAACATCTAGTAACCACATTCAAGATATCATGTACATTTCTGATAAACAAATAACGTCAATCAAAGACAAGTTTCTTCTCAAGATAAACAGCTGCTTCATTACAATTGAAGTGACGTTTTAGTATCAATACCTGCATACACATATATTCGTATTTTTCCAGAAAAGCTCAAATATCTGAATAGGCTGAAACGTATTCAATTGTGCCCGTTTGCTGTGTTGTGAAGGAATCTCGTGTCATTGTCTCGTACACTGTCATGGTCTTATTTACAGACCACCCTGTTATAGCTAGAATATTGCCAAGCACAGTGTTAAACAACACCGCTCTGAACAGCATTTTACTTATAGCAAGGTCCTAGATGTGATTGGTGCTGAAAACAAACAAAGTAAATCAACGCAAATTTGGGATTTGAACTCAGCTGATTATGTGTGGTCAATTCATACGTAAGTTTACTTTTGTCAAAACAGAGCAGGTTGGTAGATTATTTATTAAACCCGCCATCTATGTTGGAGAACCCTGGCAATGTGTGTATATTGTTGGCATATATTTAATGGATGCTCTTCTGTCACAAACATCGACTCGCACTAAGAAAATACTTAGGTTTATACTCAATATTTCAGTTCTCATTTCTTTGTCATCAATGTGTATGGAAGGTGTATATTGTCACTTGTAAATTGCTTCGTTTGATTTCTACAGCATCAGGTTAATTCTAAAACTCGTGACAACTAAAAGTGTTTGAGCTGAGCATACTATAATCTGTGCCATGTTCCACAGGGCATCGGAGCGCTAAGATGATCATTACTCGCATACTTTAACATAGATTAGTGACAGTCGTAGCAACATGATCGCATAGTGCATAAGCTAAGAGGATTGCTCTTTTCATAAGGGTATGATCATTTATTAAACAAGGATTGAGTATGGTTTTACGTCGCTTTTAGCAATATTCCAGCAATATCCAGGTGGGGGGACATCAGAAATGGGCTTCACACATTGTACCCAAGTCGGGAATCAAAGCCGGGTCTTCGGCATGACAAGCGAACGCTTTGACCACTAGGCTACCCGACCACCCCTAATGAAACAAGGAGCCAGCTTGGTCCCTAAATATGAGTAACAGGCTACTCCTTTGACTCCACTCCAGCGTACACAGAGTGAAACAGTTTAGATCTGACTGATCTGTGTCCTTCGTTGGTTTGTTGCTTTATGACCAGGAAATCCAGTTGTTGATAGTCGATGATATTTGTTTGTTTGTTTGTTTGTTTGTTTTTTAGTTTTAACTCTGTACTCAGCAATATTCTAGCTATATGACAGTGGTCTGTAAATAATCAAAGCTGGACCAGACAATCCTGTGATTGACATCATGAGCATTAGGATACGATGATATGCATCAACCAAGTCGACAAGTCTGACCACCCGATCCCATTAGTCGCCTCTAACAACAAGCATAGGATGTCCAATAAGCAATCAGTCACATAGAGCAGTTTGACAACCAATCCCCACTTTCGTTGATAAGCATAAGTACTGTCTATTGTGACCCAAATCCGCACAGGAGAGGTCTTTGAAAGCTTTCACTACACATCATACTACAGGCATAGCAGGTCACATAGAGGTCATATTACATCACAAATACCTGGAGGTATTAACTTAGAGATTAATATATGTACATATGTAAGAATGTTGTGTAATTTTGTTTGTTTGTTGTTTAACACCGGACTCAGCAATATTCCAGCTATATGACGGCGGTCTGTAAATAATCGAGTCTGGACCAGACAATCCAGTAATTGACATCATGAGCAGCGATCCACGCAATTGGGATCGATGACGTGCATTAACAATATCAGCGAGCCTGACCACCCGATTCCGATAGTCGCCTCTTACGACAAGCATAGTCGACTCTTACAGCAAGCACGGGTTGCTGAAGACCTAGTGAACCATTGTGACCCAAATCCGCACAGGACAGGTCTTTGTAAGCTTTCACTACACAACATACTACAGGCATAGCAGAAGGTCACATAGAGGTCATATTACATCACAAATACCTGGAGGTATTAACTTAGAGATTTACATATGTACAAATGTAAGAATGTTGTGTAATAATTGGAAAACATTATGTCCCACCAGCAACCAAAGCAACAAGTGGATGAGTGTTTATCCTCTGGATATAAATATCCCCTGTCAAGCCAACACTTAGGTCATGTTTTCAGCCCAGATTGTTTTGTCATGTGTGAAATTCAGACATTTTCATTTTGTAACAAGGGTGATCATATATTACTCAGAGGGACCATCTGATTATTTCATACAACTCTAATCTGTCATGGCATGTGTAGTATATTTACTGTATCCGTACATACATCAGAAACTTAGTCAAAAGACAAAGTGGGGTTTAAACTTCTTAATCAGCCAGTTTGGTAGAGTATAGTCCCACTATTGGATGATAAGGTGAGGAGAAATAGGGTTTAACATCGCATTCAAGATCATTGCACTTATATAGCAACGTGCATGCATATGTGTGTGAATGTGTGTGTGGTTGGCTCTGTGCGAATGTGTGTGTGTGGCTGCTTGTACTAGTCCAGACTGATGCCGACTTAAAGTGCTAACCCACTGAGATACCATACTGCAGTTTAACAAGAATACACCACTCAGACACAGTATACTGACTCGGAGCTGACCAGTCCTTGTTTTAGCCCCTTAATACCGAGCACCAGGAAGGGTAACAAAAATGACGTGGCAGGGGATCAAACCCCCAGACCTTCTCTCTGGGCAGATGTCTACCACCAGACCACGGAGGCAGTCAGGATGATAAGAGGAGGAAGCAGATTAATAAGCTTCAAAATTATCCCCCAGGCTAAGAACCATCCCATTAAGGCTCAGTGGTGAACCATTAGAACCATGGAGTCTACTACAGGAAAATAGTACTCTCATCTCAATACAAGGTTTTCAAAATAAATGTAGCATTTTCAGTATTGACAGAATTATGGGGCAAGGAGATGCATGATTTGGATGGTAGGATATTGCTCGGGATTTGATTTGATTTGGTTGTGGTTGTGGTTGTGGTTGTGGTTGTGGTTGTGGTTGGTGTTATGGCTGGAGGTTGGAGCCCATGTCACTGCAAGGTCGGTGTCAAAAACATCAAAGTGGATATGGTTAGGGTCCAAGGTCAGGGTCAGGGATCACAGTGAGGTTTGAGATAATGGTTAGGTTAGAGTCACGGTAAGTGTTGAGATCAAGATTTGGGCTGGGTGTGGTCTGGTTAGTTTAGGATCTGGTTAGGGTGGGGTGAGGGCGGTGTCTGGTTAGTCTGGGATCTGGTTGGACATGTTCTAGTTAGGGTGGGGTAAGGGTGGAATCTGGTTAGTCTGGGATCTGGTAGGGATGCGATCTGGTTAGGGTGGGGTCTGGTTAGCCTGGGATCTGCTAGGGACGCGATCTGGTTAGGGTGGGGTTAGGGTGGGGTCTGGCTAGTCTGGGATCTGGTAGGGACGCGATCTGGTTAGGGTCGGGTAAGGGTGGGGTCTGGCTAGTCTGGGATCTGGTAGGGACGTGATCTGGTTAGGGTGGGGTAAGGGTGGAATCTGGTTAGTCTGGGATCTAGTTAGGGTGAGGTCAGTGCCTTTGTCTGTATTGTGAAACAGCAGGAAGCTAAGCGGGGTAAATGACGGACATGAAAGGACAACAGACTGAAGGATGTAATAATCATTTGTACAACACAATTATGGCATGTAGTTCAAAATGTGAAGATGAACACTCCGTCAAAATTGTTTTGACATGTGTGGACCCCGAGGGATTAGCACCTTCTTCACATGAATATATACACATGGAGTCGATAAACACGGTGTCACATGAGACAGAAGACATTAAAAAAATACAGGAAAACTGTGTCCTGTCAATTACAGTTGTGACCAGTCACTTTTAGCAGGCCAGAGGGAGTATCCCAAAGGTTCATGTGTTCGCTCTTAGTCTGGGTTTGAACCCAACTCCACAGGGTTTGAACGGGCCATGATACTCCTTCACAAAGAGGCACACGAAGGTCTTTCCCCTAATCTAAATAACCATTCATTTAACCATGGCTGAGTAGGCATTCTATTCTCTCTATAGGATAACCATGAAAATATGCGCACTAACAGATTCGCACTTTTGTCATTCAACAATACAGATCCAATATCCGTCCAGGGTGCAGTCTTCCTTTCCAGGTCCAAGAATGAGATTAAATGAGAGATTCCTTGCAAGTCTTGTCGCAGTAAGTTATTATCAGCTGTTGGGTAAACAGTACAAGATGGAGTCCTCCTTGAGACATTGTAAAACTGATTGTCATCTTAATATTCCATCATTCCATCATGAATATTTCTGGGTAAATAATCCTTGTTGAAGAATACCACGTTCATACCAACAGTATCCACATATCACGTGCAAATACGTTCACTGGTCTGGTTACCGGTATATAAATAACTCCTTCCAATCAGATCGTCTGCTTGACAGCTTCTTCTCTGATCAGATATTGACTGATAATAGTAACTTCATTGCAGAAGAGCTCCTGCCAAGGGAGGTAATTGCACTATCCCATGCATGCGCGACATGCAGATGAAATACTTTCACTCATTCATTCGCAAACTTCTGAGGGCTTCGTGTAAGACCCTGTAGAGTTTTTGTTGAAATTTATCCACTTTATCCCACTTATTAGTCTCCTTGGCAACTCGACATAATTCTTGAGCATGTTCAATACTGCTGTCGTCGTGAAGAGCTGGATACAAGACGTGATGGGTTGAAAACCTGAAATCAGAAATAAACAAATTATATCACTGAGTGAATGAGTTGGGTTTATGCCACTTTTAACAGGATTTGCGTATATCACGGCGTGTCAGCTTAATGTGGGAGAAAAGCCTGAAGTGATGCAGGTCTCAGACCTTTACCACTTCGGTGAAACCCACGGGCACGGGTATGATGCTGACAAACCTAGAAACATAACCATGGCGAACCAGGATTTGAACCCAAAATCATAGGTTTCTGGCTTGCCCAAGGGAGGCAACTCTGCACAGCTAATTGCAGTGCCTTACACGACTGGGCCAGCCATCCCCCAATTGATAAAACGACTATTGAAATAAATGTGAAAAAAATATAATAAACATATACGTTTCAATTCACTTGTCTTTTTTTCCATAAGGGCAATTTCAATTTGTTGTTCACACAGAAGACAAACATACACATAAGATTCTATTCAGGATTCTACTTTAACTCACAAAAATAAAATTTGGAGAGAATAACTTTACTTGGAGTGGACAGAAACAAAAAATGATCAAGCAAAGAGAAACACAAAAATAAAATAAAAATTGTCCCAGTAACAATGATATTGAAGGATTATTATTGCTGTGTTGAAAACACCTGTCTACGTGGTCTTTCTTACCGTTTTCCTGAGTAATCGGTTACAAATATTCGCTCAAACAACATCTTAACTTCGTTGACTGATTTCACCCCGAGGATGTCCTGGTTTTTGCGGTAGATCTGGATGAGGTCCTCGAACGCTGTGGTTGTCTCTGTCAGAAGGTCTGTGACGGTCAGCTCAGGTGCTGGAAGTATGAACGAATTATTCAGTGAGTGAGTGAGGTGGGTTTAACGCCCATTTGAACAGTATTCCAGTTAATCACGGCTTGTCAGCTTACTGAGTGAGTGAGTATGGTATTCGGCCGCTTTTAGCAATATTCCAGCAATATCACGGTGGGGGACACCAGAAATTGGCTTCACACATTATACCCATGTAGGGTTGGTTGGTTGGTTGGTTGTTTAACGCTGCACTCAGAAATATTCCAGCTATATGACGGCTGTCTGTAAAATAATCGAGTCTGGACCAGACAATCCAGTAATTGATATCATGAGCATCAATCCATGCAATTGGGATTGATGACACGCATCAACCAAGTCAGCGAGCCTGACCACCCGATCCGGTTAGTCGCCTCTTACGACAAGCATAGTCACCTTTTACGGCAAGCATGGGTTGCTGAAGACCTATTCAAACCGGAGTCTTCACGGGTCTCCATGTAGGGAATCGAATCTGGGCCTTCGGTGTGATGAGCCAACGCTTTAACCACTAGGCTACCCTCCCGCCCCATCAGCTTACTGAGCGAGGATGGCCCGTCAGCTGACTGAGGGATGAGGAGATGAGGACATGTATGACTGAATGACTGCCAGTGAGCGTCGTCCAGCATCTGCCAGAATCGTATGGCTCAGCAATTGCCACAATACTATAATTCTGACGAGACATGACGAGGGAACGCTTTAACCACAGGGCTACCCTACCGCCCCTTCAACTTACTGAGAGAGGATGTCCTAAAATGATGCAAGACTCTGCAATTTATGATTGAATGACTCCTTGCCAATTACCATCTTCAAGCATCTTCCGGCTCAGCAATTGCCACGATACTATAATTTTGTATTTTAACAAAATATCAATAGATTCTGTGACCCTCAACTTCTTTTGAGTAGCATATATCATCACGTGGACCTGAGCAGAGATGGTGGTATATAAGTCACTAGAGTGCATTCCATTTACAAGCCCTTGGGGGGGCAGGCACGGGTGGCCTAGTCGTCTAAGGTGCCGCGATTCGCTGTGCAGAGTTGCGTCCCTTGGGCCAGAAACCTATGATTGTGGGTTCGAATCCCGGTTCACCCTGATTATGTTTCTTGGTTAATCAGCACCATACCCGTGCTCGTGGGTTTCACCGAAGTGGTAAATGTCTAAGACCTGCATCACTTAGGGCTTTCCTCCAACATAAAGCTTACACGCCGCGACATAACTGAAATACTGTTAAAAGCGGTGTGACACCCAACTCACTCACTACAAGCCCTGGGTTAGTCCTTGCCACACCTGACTGCTGATGATAAATAACCTACAGATGACTCTAGCAGACAAGGCATCTTTAATTCCAAAGATAGATCTACTTAATAATGCATTTGTAACCGATTCTTGATCAGCTTTTTAGAGTGAATAAATTACCTAGATCTCTAAATTCATCGGAACATTCCTTGATTGCCTCGGATGTCTGCCACACTGCCACGTGTAGAGTCTGTGCGTAGTCGTTGATGGAGTATGGCAGCACGTAGTCGTCAACAAGCCTCAGCATCGCCATGGTGACAACACGGCTCACGGCAATGTGGTATTTGAAGTGGTGGCGACTATCAAGCTCTCTCATGTCATCTATGTTTCCAGGAGTCTGAAAACAATTGAGTGAGTGAGTGAGGGAAGGAAGGAAGGAGGGAAAGAGGGAGGTAGGTTTTAACTAAACTTCTAGAATTAGGTTTGTTCTTGCACATTGTTATTGTCTAAATGAAAATGGGGGGAATTTTATACATTGCACGGCTATGTAAATAATAGGTTTATGGAATGAGTTTGCATGATAAACAGAATTTCACCCATGTGTCATGGACATAAACTACCCAACTCTTGAGGATAAAAGTTAAACTTCTCGACAAGCCTAAGAGGTTGTAATCCTTTATCAACTAGTGTTAATATTGGATATGACCGACTCCGTGGTCCAGTGGTAGAGCATCCGCCCGGAGAGCTGAAGGTCTGGGGTTCGATCCCCGGCCGCGTCATTCCAAAAGACGTTAAAAACTGGTACTTGTTGTTGCCCTGTCTGGCGCTCGGCATTAAGGGGCTAAAACAAGGACTGGTCGGCTCGGAGTCAGTATACTGTGTCTGGGTGGGGTATTCATACTAAACTGCGCCATGGTATCTCAGTGAGCTAGCACTATAAATCGGCATCAGTCCGGACTAGTACAAGCAACCACACACACACACGTCGCTTTATAAGTGCAATAATCTTGGATGCGACGTTAACCCAATTTCACCTTCACCTAATATTGGATATGAAAACACACTTGGGTGAGACTCTCTGTATCCCTACCAAACGTTGAGTAGTACGCTCACCTCGCTGCTCCTTCCCACAAACTGGAGGTGAAGCTCGGGGACCCCCACGAGATGAAGGAAGGGGTGGCGTGTGGCATCCTGTGTGTACAGTTTGAACGGAGACCAGTGTGAGGGGCTTTCAGCGGACTTTCTGTCCCAGTCCTCAAGGATCATGGTCTCTGGATTCAAGGGATTGGGAACCTGTGGAGAAAAAAAAGTATATTGAAAATTGAAGGCAATTCCATTGAACAGATATTTATTTCCCACAGTACACAGGAATGACAACCCATGAAGAGTGAGTGAGTGAGTTTGGTTTTACGTCGCTTTTAGCAATATTCCAGCAATATCACGGCGGGGGACACCAGAAATGGGCTTCACACATTGTACCCATGTCGGGAATCAAACCCGGGTCTTCGGCGTGACGTGCGAACGCTTTAACCACTAGGCTACCCGACCGCCCCCAACCCATGAAGAAATAAGTAAATGACTACAACTGAAAATAATTCCGTCAAATTGACATTTTTTCACTTCAGTCGTTCTGTTTTAAACAGAAAATGTCGGAGTGATGGGTGTTGCAGTCATGATTTGTTTGTTGGAAAGATGTACATTTTATGAAAACCATGTACCACAATTGTATTGACATGACATGTATATATAAATGCTGTACTTGCTGAGATGAATAAAAAGGGAAAATAAAAAATAAAATAAAAAATGATTTGTTGTTAAACACTGCACTCAGCAATATGACACCGGATTGTAAATATTTGAATCTGGATCAGACAATCAAGTGATTGACATCATGAGCATCGATCTACACAATTGGGACACGATGACAAGCATCAACCAAGTCAGCGAGCCTGACCACCCAATTCTAACATAGAATCTTCACAAGACTGCAGTCATGAGCTGGATTGTCTCCCTTTAACTGACTGGAGGCTGGAAGTTTTAATTGATTGTACATGAAATGTTGTATGTAGCATCTGTTTATCCTTCGGATGCAAAAGAGTAGTTAGCTGGAGCTACAAACTGATTTATGGAAATCCAACCAACTCAAATTCAGCAGACATTAAAAGAGTACCGACCGACTTATTAATCAGAGTTAACCTGGGCCCACATGCACAAAGCCATCTTAGTGCTAAGACTATCATAAGCCTATGTTAAAATATGGGAGTTACGATCATCTTAGCTTTGTGCTAAGACTATCGTAACCCTATATTAAAATATGGGAGTTACGATCATCTTAGCTTTGTGCTAAGACTATCGTAAGCCTATGTTAAAATATGGGAGTTACAATCATCTTAGCGCTAAGATCGCTTTATGCAAGTGGGCTCTGGACTTTGAGCACAAGATCAGTTGCCTAGAACCAGTCAGTCCTGGAATAGCTGAGGGGAACAAAGGGAGATGTGTGACCTACCCTGTGAGCGGCGGTGTTGAGCAACTTCCTCAACGCTGGCGTGACTGTGGCGATGATGGTCTTGTTCCCCGTGGCGAGTTCACTTAGATCGAAATAGGCAACAGCTCTCCTGCTAAGGAGGTGCACATTGGCCTGGAACAAAAACATCAGAATCCTTCAGGTGTCTTTAAAGCACTTGTAGACAAGAGTCATCAGAAGATGACAAATCCCCCGGCCCCAACAATAGCAAAAGGCACCACTTCAGCCCCTGGTTAATTATCTTTCTCAGTTTTCAAGTTATGCTTAACAGATAGACCAGATGATGTCTATACCCCTGCATATATGCCAGTAAGTGAGTGAGTGGGTGGGTGGGTGGGTGGGTGGGTGAGTGAGTGAGTGAGTGAAGGAGTGAAGGAGTGAGTGAAGGAGTGAGTGAGTGGGTGTTTTGGTGGGTGAGTGAGTGAGTGAGTGATGACATATCCCCTGCATATATGCCAGTGAGTGAGTGAGTGAAGGAGTGAGTGAGTGGGTGTTTGGGTGGGTGAGTGAGTGAGTGATGACCATATCCCCTGCATGTATGCCAGTAAGTGAGTGAGTGAGTGAGTGAGTGAGTGAGTGAGTGAGTCACAACCCCTACTGTAAAATAAGTAAGAGAGTTCAGTTTAACGCCACTTTGAACAGTATTCAAGTTATATAACAGCGTTCCAATGTTGGAGGAAAACCCGAAGTGATGACATTTACTAACAGAAAGTGAGTGAGTGAAGTTTGTTGTTAATTGCCGCACTAAGCAGTATTCCAGCATATGACTTCCTGTAAATAATAACCAGTGATTGATACAATGAGCATCAATCCACACCATCACAGTTCGATGAACTGCAATGAACCATGTCGCTGATCCAGACCACCCAATTCACAAGGTCAACGCGGACAACAAGCATAGGTTGCTAGGGAACAAATATTTAATACAGATATGACTGGAACATGATAAAGTCTTGATCCTACCTTGATGTACTCTCTCATCCCAGCATTAGAGAATTCCGACCCTCCCCACGATATGAGCTTTATCCCACGCCTTGGTTTCCATTGGTCGGTCTTCTTGTATTGTAAGCTCCACGCGATCTGCCGCAGCAGGGCCGTGGAGACGAGAGCATCAGTAGAGGATCCTGGGAAGGAGGATCGGGGAGCTCCAACAATCACGTAGTTGTCTAGTGAGAGTGAGCATTAATGAATACATTGTTATATTCATTCATTATTCATTATTATTTTCAGTGTTGACAAACATCACAATAATATATAACAATTAACTTTATTATTAATGTTGACCAGAGTAATCCAATCCTGGCCTACTTACAAATCATTCATTTTTTTTCCTGGTTGGTGGGTTGGTTGGTTTGTTGTTTAATGCCGCACTCAGCAATATTCCAGCTATATGACGGCGGTCTGTAAATAATCGAGTCTGGACCAGACAATCCAGTGATTAATATCACGAGCATCGATCCACGCAATTGGGATCGATGACATGCATCAACCAAGTCAGAGAGCCTGACCACCTGATCCCGTTAGTCGCCTTTTACGACAAGCATAGTCGGCTTTTATGGCAAGTATGGGTTGCTGAAGACCTATTCTACCGCGGAATCTTCAAGGGTCTTTTTTTTTCTTTTTCTTTTTTCCCTGGAAAAGTGACTCAAATTGTGACAAAGCTCAAATAATGGCATCATATCATTTTAAAAATACAAATATTTTGGTTCATAAAATACAGAAGAGAGTTGTATAAGATCATTTGAGTTGTTTTTCAAGACTTACCAGGCTCTGAATATCCACTAAGTTTGCCGACAACATTCCTTATAAACACTTCTTTCCTCTTGTTAAATGTTGTAATCTTCACTGTAAAGTTGCCTGTAAAAAATAAACAGTAGTTATTAAATACTGGGAAAAAGTATGAAGAAATTGCATCATCAAAATGAAAGCTGAAAAATAGTTGGTTCATAATTATTTACATTCAGTTAAAGGGAGATAACCCTAGACTAAGGCAAACACAGTAATTGACACAGAAAGTGAGTGAGTTGGGTTAAACGCCGCTTTTAACAGTATTCTAGTTACATCAGGTGTGTCAGCTTAATGTGGGAGGAAAGCCCGAAGTGATGCAGGTGTCAGACGTTTACAACTTCGGTGAAACCCACGAGCACAGGTATGGTGCTGACAAAGCTAGAAACATAATCGGGGCGAACCGGGATTCGAACCCACAATCATAGGTTTCTGGCGTGCCCAAGGGACACAACTCAATGAATCGCGGCGCCTTAGACGACTCTGCCCCCGCCACAGAAAGAGTTACGAAAACAGCAGTTTGAAAATGTCATAATTCAATGTCAAACAGTGAGCCTACTTGTAAAAGATATGTACACAATATTGACATAGGCTACAAGAAAGGTTTACAGGTGGATTTCAATGAGGTACAAGTAAGACAAGTAAGAAATATAGAAATTTCTTTTATTGGAAAAAGTGAGTGTTCTTTTATACTGTACACAGTCTGCAATATTACAGGCCGACCACAGTCAGTTGGATCAAGAACTGGAGATTAACCGAGAATCCCTGCAGGGTTGTGCAAATTGGCGTCGAGAGAGATTTATTATCCTACTACCAATTTCATGTGTGAAGAGATAATAGAAACCAATTCAATCTGTTACTAAGGCCAGGGCCCACTTGCACAAAGCGATCTTAGCGCTAAGATGATCGTAGTTCCCATACTTTAGCATAGGCTTACAATAGTCTTAGCACTAAGATCATTTTGTGCAAGTGGGCCCAGATATTTACAGATTCTGATGGTAAAAATTTCAGTCGGTTGGTCAAAAAAAAGATGGTGCATCGTACAGGATTTTTTAATCATCTTAAAGTTTTATTTGATTTGGTAGGTCATATAATAAAAAGGCCTAGTGTGGATCCTTATAAATATTAGTGAGTGAGTGAGTTGAAATTTAATGTTGCATCGGTATTATTTCAGCCAAATAGTGACGAGACTAAGTTAATATATTCACAAGTGAGTCATTTATGCAAAGTTATTTTTAAAAACAATTTATGAAACATATTTGAGCATACTAAATTTAAAAACAATTTATGAAACATAATGAGCATAACAATATTATATATACAGTTTTAAAACAAGGGCTATAGGCCACCAGTAACCAAAGCTAGGCCACCTCGCTGGGGACCATGGGGACTGACAGTACCTCGGCTTCCTGCATGATACCCCAGCAGGATTTACGTCATCACTTTAGCCACTGGTGGTTGTGCATAATACTAGCCAATATTAAAAAATACTCAGCAATGAGTTGGCTTATAACACTGGTTGATGATAGTTACATCGATTATGATAGGAATTACGTGTCACACAATAATTTTAGGGTACTTTAACCTCCTGGACAGAGCCTTCAATAATGTCAGTTGATAATAGCATCACACCAAATTTTAAAACAAGCATTTAATAATTCACATACATATTTAAAATTTATCATAGACCAATTTCTTTCAAGTAGCTGATAATGAGATGCCTGCTGACACGGGATATAAATATTAGAAATCTAAAATCTGACGACATTTCTGTTCCATGAACTTGTCTGACAGATGATAGTGTTTAACATTAACATGACAAAATTTCAGTTTTCGTCAAATAAAAATCCTTATTTTCAAAGTGAACTTTAGGATCGATGGTATAAAAAAAACCTTGTCAGTCTTATTTATTTGTTTCCGAATTTTCTATTTATGAGGTCAGAGGGTCCGTAAAGAAAGCAAAAAAATGTGAAAGCCTAAAAAGATAATACTGTATGTCGCATGGTCTTTCGTACAGTGTCCCAGTGTGTACACCTTGGATTATTTACCTGCTCCATATCTGTACGTGGTATTGAATCCTCCCTTCCATGTCGTAGGCACTGAAGCTCCTCGCAGCTCTCTCAGAAACTTGGCGGCCATGTTGGTTGAGATTGTCTGGGTGGGTACGGTGAACAAGCTGGACCGATCTGGAACATCGTAAAAACATTACTTTTAAACAACATTGGACTGGAGTTAGTTTATTATAGCTTAGGGACCAGTTCAAAAGTTCACAAGTCCAAATCAGGAGGGCCACTAATGTCTCACCTTAGAACTACACTTTGGTGAAAACCATGGCACAGTCATGATACAGACACAGAATGGTAACACAGATCTGGGATTTGAACCCAATAGCTCGGTGTTCACAAGGGGGCCACTAGTGTCACTCCTTAAATAGGAGTAGAGGTTATTGTACAAGACAATGAATTTAAATTAATTCAAGAAATCGATAGTGAACTGTCACTTGTGGTCACATAAAATGATCAAAAGTTTGTCTCACCACATCCTGCTGAAGCATAGGGGATGAAGGAAGCATTATGTGGGGCTGCCAATTCCTTGTCCAGGGGGTCCCAGTACAGCAGCACCCCAGCCACCCCAGCATCTTGGGCCACCTGGAGCTGGAAGAACAAAACATGATTGGTCAATATTACAGTGAGTGACCAATACAGAGTCCGAAATAGCTGCCTGACCACTGTCTCGTAACATATCTGTCCAGATGGGTAAATTTATTCCTACCTACTAACAGTCAAAAAATGCATTCATTGCCACACTGACAAGGTTAAATTCAACAGCGATATGTGACATGTTTACCTGTGAACAATAGCTACCTTTGTGATCATAAAACCAAAAATGTTAAAGACATGGAGTGAAATAAATCTGAGAAAATGATGATGATTGTTTACTCGAGCAAGTAGTTACAAAGGTATGCCTGAAACTGTAAAATTACATTTACCGTATTCAACGTAATAAGCGCCCAGGGCGCTCTCGAAATTAGAAATAGGGGGATCTTATTAGAATATAATTTTGGTGAAAGATTGTAAATTTTATGGTTTCTGCTGTCAGCCTGAAATGATACAAATGAAAAGTCTGTGCGTATTATACACGACAGATTTATTTTTCCAGAATTTAATTGCCCGTAATTAAGGGTGCATGTAACACACGAGTGCGTATTATACACGAATAAATGTACACAAATTGTGTACATTGATCAGTCGGATGGGTGCTAATTGGGATTGTTCACTAGCCAATATATTGGAAAATATCGCTGTGGGCGCTTATTAGAGCGGGGCACTTATTACGTTGAATACAGTAATCTCCAGCCCACTTGGCTAGTTGGGAGGAAAAATTATTTTACACACTGATTAAATCTGGACCATCCGAATCAGGACAGAATGCATGAGCTGTGATCCATGTCACTGACGTACGATGACAAACACAATATTTATGACAAAATGTGCAGATCCAGATTTAAAAGGTTAGGGGAGACGATCTGCCTGATCCACAAGATCTCGTCATCGACTCCTGTATTTTTTTGTATATTGTTCACAGGGAACTATTATGGGACAAACAGAACAATGTTATAATTAATGTTAAATCTAAATAAATACATGCAAGTGATAAACAAGATCAATGAAGCACAAAGCCATATTACATAGTTATCTTCTATATCTTGATTAGAATTCAATAATAGCTAACCCTTCAACCACAAGGCTACCCGACTAGGCTACCCGACTGCCCCTAATATATATCTAATTGATGCATTTATTTATAATGATCTTTTTTCACCAATGACCACAAACAAAACATAAAAAACATCTCTTGTAAAAAATGATTTCTCAGTGTCAATATTAACAGAAACAACTCTCCATTGTGCAGGGCAGGACACACCAGGGTGCCCTTGTACAGAGCAACGTAGACTTACGATATTCTTAGTGCTAAGGAGATCGTAACTCCCATAACATAACATAGACTTACGACAGTTGTAGTGCTAAGTTGATCGTAACTCCCATACCTTAGCATAGACTTATGATATTCTTAGTCCTGAGGTGATCGTAACTCCCATAACATAACATAGACTTACGACAGTCGTAGTGCTATGTTGATCATAACTCGCATACCTTAACATAGACTTATGATATTCTTAGTGCTGAGGTGATCGTAACTCCATACCTTAACCTAGACTTCCGACAGTCGTAGCACTAAGGTGATCGTAACTCCCATACCTTAACATAGACCTAAAACAGTCGCAGAGCTAAGTTGATCGTAACTCCCATACCTACACGTAGACTTACAATATTCTTAGTGCTGAGGTGATCGTAACTCCATACCTTAACCTAGACTTCCGACAGTCGTAGCACTAAGGTGATCGTAACTCCCATACCTTAACATAGACTTAAAACAGTCGCAGAGCTAAGTTGATCGTAACTCCCATACCTACACGTAGACTTACAATATTCTTAGTGTTGAGGTGATCGTAACTCCATACCTTAACCTAGACTTCCGACAGTCGTAGCACTAAGGTGATCGTAACCCCCATACTTTAACATAGACTTACAACAGTCGTAGCTCCAAGCCTGTTTAAACAACGCCACCCTGAAGTTATCAATGCCTTCTCCCTCGATGTACAAGTCTACAATCCAGCCACAACACGGCTGTTGTCACCTCCACACACTCAAAGATAACACAGCCAGTCCAATCTCCCTGATCACAGCTACCAGCCTACTTCTTACAATGTACTTCAGTGACTTCAGTTCAGGAATATTGAGTCAGTGAGTTCGGTTTAACGCCGTTCTTTGCCATCAAACCCACGCCTTTAGAGTAACAAGTGGATTCCTTAATCACAGTTATGATACCCATAACACACATAATTATCTAGTAGTCACTTTTCTGCCGCTTCAAATTCATCAGTGATATACCGTATTCGACATAATAAGTGCCCAGGGCGCTCTCAAAATTAGAAATAGAGGGGCTCTTATTAGAGTATTATTTTAGTGCCTCCTGATATATCTAGTAATCACTTTTCTGACGCTTCAAGTTCATCAGTAATATACCGTATTCAACATAATAAGCGCCCAGGGTGCTCTAAAAATTAGAAATGGGGGGCTCTTATTAGAATATTATTTTAGTGAAAAACAACAGATTTAAAAGATCGTAAATTTTGTGGTTTATGCTGACAGCCTGAAATGTTTACAAACAACAGATATATTTTTCCAGAATTCAATTTCCCATAATCAAGGATGCATATAACACACGTATTATACACAAATAAATAAGTCTTGTGTACATTCATCAATCGGAAGGGGTGCTAATTGGGATTGTTCACTAGCCAATATATTAGCAAATATTGCTGTGGGCGCTTATTATGTTGAATACAGTAATGAATTAAAATACCAGAGTGGGCTGCAATGCTGAGTTCACTCAAATCCCGTTTTATCCCTTGTGACAAACCTCTACGACCACCAACACAATACAATCAAGCAATCTGTCAAATGTTTAAAAACAATTTTATTTTTGTTTTATACCAATAGGATTGTTTATGTATGTCAAAGAAAAACCAAAATCATCTGTTATTGACCTGTAAAGACACTTAACCTGCATGAAAATTGTTTATTTATAAACACCGACTCAAAAAATCCAGAATAAATTTGTCACAAATTTTATTGGTAAATAAACTACATCATATAACTTATAAGACCAAAAAGTTCAAGACATCAGATAACCTCTACATTTTTAATATCAAACTGGTTATTTATTTCTTCAAACAAAACATGTTTTGACATGTTATCTTCATTCAAGTGCTTCCATTCAGTCACATGATTACAGGACTTTTTTTAGCCGGCCCGACAGATCATGTTAATGGTTTTCGACCTGACTGTTTGCCAGTGTGTGTATATCATATGTTCACTATACTTGAAACGAACTGGGTCAGCGCTCCATAAAACCTCCTCGCTCCTACGTAATGACCCTCAGCATCCAGCCTACCTGTCTTGTAGCCTGTGACAAAGGACCTATTGCCATCCTGTAGCGTTTAACAAAGGAGCTATTGCAGACCTGGAGCATCTAACAAAGGACCTATTGCAGTCCAGGAGCGCAAGTCGGGAAGCCAAGGCATTAAGGCGGGACACAGCGTGTAACCTCTCTGTGTCGCTGTCTGATTACAACGATAATCACTGGTCTATTTACATGCTTTACATAAAACAGGCGGTTGATAGGTGTCTATCACCGAGATTTACACACCACAGCTAATTGGTAGACGGTCAGGCCTGACAGGACTAAAGAGGGATGTATGAAAGAGATATCTGTTCCTTAAAGGGACTCTTGTCTCTTCCAATTAGGACACGGCTGTGAGATTGACTTACAACAAACACTTGGAATCTGAGCTCAGTAATTGACTCTGGAGCAGCGCATATGATTTTTTTAAAATTAAAACATACAATGCAAATTGTTGTGTTTGAGTAAGAATAACCTTTGATCAAGAGTTTTTATTGGTTTTTGATCAAGATATTATGTAGGGAAAATTACATGTAGCATGAAAAACAGGGCTGGGACAGGTAACTCGGGTACTCGGGTCGGGTGGGTACTGAGTAGGACTCGGGTACCCACAGGACTACCCGGACCTGTGGTTAGTCACGTGATAAACTGTTTCATGACAAAAAACTTCAGTGTATGCATGACCACATTGTTTTCTACTTGTATCTAAATACACTCTGCCAGGGCTTCTGTCAAACTATTCCCAATCGGACATTTTGTACCTATCTCTTGCACCAACAGCGGGTACACGGGTAGGGTCGGGTAATAGGGGTGTGGGTACCCGGGTAGAAAATTTGGACTCGTCCCAACCCTACTACACAACTTATTTTACATATACCATTTTCAACACAACATATTTTAGATAAACTGTTTTCTACACAACTTATTTTTACCTTTTCTGCAACTGATGTTACGCCTAATCGAAGGAGCAAAACTTGACCTGTGATGTTGATACCTTGACCTTTGAAGGTCAACAAGTCAGACAGGCGGCCATAATGTCCGTAGAACACGCCACCCTGAAACAAATAATGTTGGTAAAGAACTCGCATACATGCAAATTGTCAAAGCTGTTCAGCTAAAACTGTGACAGAGTATATTTGGTTGAACACTTCTTTAAAACATTTTCTATTATTATCTCGGGGTCATTGTCGGCAAAGAAACCACAGAACCGTACCCCAGGTACCTTTCTGTATACACAAATGTATTGTATTAGGAACATAAACATCCCTGTCTGTTTTCACAATGCATTAAACCAGCTTGAGTTTGGCTTAACTCGGTCACGTGTGCAATATGCTGCAATTGTGTTAACCTTGAAACCCCCAAATACTTCACCGCCATTAATATTGCCACACTAGGATACATTTATGAAAAAAGAAATTACCTGGGTTACATTTCTGTAGTATCTATTCCCAAACAGAAATATTTCAGCTTCATGTAAGGGGTAACTCCCAGTAAAGATTAACCACCTGTTCATACCAACTACACTCTGTAGATCCTGTAACAACTAAGGGAAGTGACTCTGCACTGAAAATAATGGTGCTTTCAGAACACTGGGCCATTGTTACAGAAATGTTACAGATACTTTGGGCTTTAGAAATAGTTATCGCAAACGGTTATTCGCCTTCTTTCAACACTGTACTAGGGTCCGACAATTTGATAATCTCAGGGGCGGAGACACTTGGGTCAGTGCTTAAACACACACATTTATTGTTGACATGAGGAGACGATTATGTTGCTTTCTAATTTCTGGATGGATGCATATCTTAGATGCTCATCACATTGGTGAAAGCATCAAACACGGTGCTGAATCATTATCAGGGCATACACGGGATTCAAACCCATGGTCGTAGGTTCCTGTCATGACAAAGGGACGCAACTCTGTGCAGCAAATTGCATCATATTTGGAGACAGGGACACTCATGACACAGCATATTTGAGAACACTTATGTTTTCTGATTCTGATCAGATCAGTTCTGTGTGCAGTGTCGGGATTCAAACCCAGACCTTCCAAGACAGTTTATCCACTAGGCCACCCTTGTCCTCCTAAACAGATATCAATGTACAGATATCAATGTAGACTAACATCTAGTCTCTTTAATGAACATATTTTACAGAAAAAAACAGTTGTTAAATTATAGTTATAAAATATAATAAAAAGGAGCCCAGAGACTTTCTTCATTTTCAGATACCTGACACTGCAGTAATCTAGACTTGCCAAACATTATAGACTTGCATGGGCTGTATTGGATATATTTGTTTCAGGGTCTGTATGACAGACTAATATGAATGCACAAATGTAGGCATCAGATGCTATGATTTTCAAACAACATCACTCAAGTAAATATAACTCATTGCACAATCCATACCGTGGCATTTAGCAGGAAGTTGGTGCCCAAGGCCATGGTAACCAAGGCAACCTGTAGACCTATTTCAACATTCCTGGAAGTCAGTCCGGAAACAATAATTGTTCATCGTTTTCAGTAGCAGACAATTCCATGGAATTTGTTAAGATGATTTTAATGTATCATATTTCTGAAGTTCATTATCGGCTCTGAAACTTAATACTTTCTTCCTAATAATTTGAAATAGGTTATATTTCAATCAGATCACTATACAAACAATTCTCTACGTCTCTTAGCTCACAATCATCGGCAATAAGTGAATGTCATCACAGCTTTCACAAGACTTCTCCTTGAAGGACACACAATACTCTCACCTACAAAATATTGATTTTTGCAAGAAATCACAAAATATTGTGTTGCCCAAGGGACTATCCATTAATAATAGGACAGAGTGTGTTTTTGTGCATGTGCATGTGCATGTGCATGTGTATGTGTGATTGCACATATTTGGTGTGCATTTTTGTTTCTTTTCAGGCAATTTAGATCACATAGGTAACAATTTTATTTGTTTTAGTCAAACCAGAAGCCAACTATTTCTGTTTCAGCATTTCTGGAACAAACTTATGGGTTTTTTCAAATCCCAGATATACCGTTCCCCCTAAAAGCTAAGCAGACTTTCAAACAGCACTATTGAGGAAATGTTACAATTGGAACTGTTTGAAATAATGTAAGCTAAGTGAGTATGGTTTTACGCGGCTTTTAGCAATATTCTCGCAATATCATGGCGGGGGACACAAGAAATGGGCTTCACACAAACATTTTTAAGACCATACACCAGTGTTTCAATATAATGTTTTAATGAAATTATGACTGTAATCATTTCAAGTTTTAGAGTGAGTGAGTGAGTTGGGTTTAACACCGCTTTTAACAGTATTCCAGTTATATCACGGCGTGTCAGCTTAATTTGGGAGGAAAGCCCGAAGTGATGCAGGTCTCAGACGTTTACCACTTCGGTGAAACCCACGAGCACGAGTATGGTGCTGACAAAGCTAGAAACAAAATCGGGGCGAACCGGGATTCGAACCCACAATCATAGGTTTCTGGCATGCCCAAGGGACACAACTCTGCACAGCGAATCACGGCGCCTTAGACGACTGGGCCATCCGTGCCCCCACAAGTTTTAGAGAAACAAATTATTGTAATTTACTTTAACCATGGTCACCACATTCATGTCCTTTCAAAACATTTTCAAATGTTAAGGCCTGTTTCAAAGCAGATTCAAAACTAAGGTCTCCTTTGGGCCAGGCTGAAAATTCAAGTCCTTTTCATGCCTGTGCGGGACTTTGTGCAAGATACTGATTAATTCAAATTTTTACGGATCATTTCAAATGTAAACAGAATGCATTCAATAACATTGGACACAGCAGTTACAGTTTTTCACTTCTTTCCGAGTTTCGCTTGTGCTTAGACAGTCGATTATGACTATTATTACTATGAGCCCCAGAGATGAGGCCACTTCTGTGAGTTCATGATCTGTATCTCAGATGAAATCCCTTTAGGCACACCAATGTGTTTCAGTGTTTTACAAACATAGCTTGGTTAATACACGACAGGAAGCAAAACAAATATATAAATTTGTTTAGGCCGATTAGAGATTTATTTCCTATTAGAACTCTTCAAATAAAGTTATAACATAAATACAAAAAACAAGATGATAGAAATTTTAAAATAGCATTTTGATTTCTATATTATGTTCTTTTACAAAATATAGGATAGACAGTCCAAGAAACAAGAAATTACACATTCCTGCCTTTAAGCCTCTTTTCTGGGCAGATATAGCTGGGATTCATCACAAAAGGGTTTAATCTCACCAGCGCTGCACAGGTTATTGCATGGCTTTATTCTTCATGTTGTGCCTTGTCAACAGACTTAAATTGATTGTTTTCAGTAGGATATGCAATTATGCAAATTTATTCAATTTCATTTCAGAAAGTAAACATAATTTGTTTTCAATTAAGCTCAGAGACATTTCAAAGACATGAACAGGTCATGCTAGTTTTATGACCATATAGAATGATTTCAACTTCTGGAATATTTTCTATTTCTAATTTTTGTTAAACGGGACATGAAACATGACATTTACTACCCTGTTCTGTTTGAAGAGATTCGTGTTGAACGAAATTGAAGTTGTAATATGACCTCCTAAAAACAGACTCATCAGAGAAGTGTGTAACAAGAATTGGCCTCTACATGATAAACATGATAAACACACAGAATCACGCAAGTCTTTCAGTCTGCGAGTCCTGGGGACTTTCGACCCGTGAAGATCCGGGGTAGAACAGGTCTTCAGCAACACATGCTGGTCCCCCGTGAAGATCCGGGGTAGAATAGGTCTTCAGCAACCCATGCTTGCCGTAAAAGCCGACTATGCTTGTCGTAAAAGGCGACTAACGGGATCAGGTGGTCAGGCTCGCTGACTTGGTTGATGCATGTCATCGATCCCAATTGCATGGATCGATGCTCATGATGTCAATCACTGGATTGTCTGGTCCAGACTCGATTATTTACAGACCGCCGTCATATAGCTGGAATATTGCTGAGTGCGGCGTTAAACAACAAACCAACCTGGGGACTTTCAGGTGATTTCATGCACTTTGCGATTTATCCATTTATCACAATATAGATTTTGATTATCCATCAGATCGTCTTCACTGGGCGCCGCCATTTTGTTTGAAAAATATGCAAGTGATATGAAGTGGAATCTGACTAGGAGGGACATAGGAGGGACATAATCCATAATAGCCACAGGTGGCGCTACGATCGAGCTCAGAAATTCCAGCCTTGTTCGGCAAGGGTGGAAACTGGACTTTTACATCAGTTAACTCCCTTTTCACTCAGGAAGATGGGTGAAACCTGACACAAACTATAAATGCCATTCTCCTGGTTTCAGATTATGTAAATGAAATCATACAATAATAATGACAAAATGGAAATAATTTTAACGATTCAAAATGACAACAAAAATTCCATTGATGTATATTATCTCTCAAGTGATGTCAGGATGAGCTTGGTGTGTGTGTTAATCATTTAAAGTACTTTTTTGCAGTTGATGTTTGTTTATTAACGTTGACTCAGCAATATCTATTTGATGACTGCCTGTTAATAATCACATCTGGACCAGACAGATCAGTGATTGATGATTTATAATGGACAGAACCCCCGTCGCTGCTGGAAGACAAATCCATCAGCGGCCTTATAGTGAGTGAGTGAGTTTGGTTTTACGCCGCTTTTAGCAATATTCGACCAATATCATGGCGGGGGACGCCAGAAATGGGCTTCACACATTGCACCCATGTCGGGAATCGAACCTGGGTCTTCAGTGTGACGAGCAAACGCTTTAACCGCTAGGCTACCCGACCACCCCAGTGGCCTTATATGAAGTAGTTGAGCATTTGGACAAAATATCTGTCAGTTACAAAATGAAAAATTCACAGACAAAAGGAAAAACATACAACAATATCTGGTGCACTTTCAGGGAAGATCTCCGATTTTGTATTGTAATACCACGCCAAGCACTCTCTCTCTTATCGGGGCGGTCGGGTAGCCTAATGGTTAAAGCGTTCGCTCGTCACGCCGAAGACCCAGGTTCAAATCCCGACATAGGTACAATGTGTGAAGCCCATTTCTGGTGTCCCCGGCCATGATATTGCTGGAATATTGCTAAAAGCGGCAAAAAACCAAACTCACTCACTCACTCTCTCTTATCCTTGGGCGATCCCCGACTTCATACACACCATCTTGACACGTATATATGGGGATGTAACCCCACAGCACTAAACAAACTGCAAAAACATTTTACCTTAGCACTTCCTCCCAGCGTGTTTGACACAAATGGAAACCTCACGTAAGGCGCACTCCCACTGGAATTTTCCGTGTTTCTATCTTCAACAACAGGAGAGTTCTTCAAGGAAACACTATCTTTTACTTTCCCCTGGCTGTCAAACAGTTGCAGAAGGTTGGGTTTCTTGGGGTCGGGGTACGTGGTGATGATGTTGTACTCCTGCACGTCCACATCGTCAAAATTGTACTCCTCAAACTCTTCCTCTATCATCTGTTCTAACTTCTTCTCCAGCGGGCTGTGGGAGATGGGGTCGTTGCTGCCGAAGTCTCTGTGAACGGAAACATATGTTATCATTAATCATCCATTATTTATCATCATTAATGAATTAATGAGTTGAAAGATTGTAAACACGTGGTAAATTGCGTGGTTTATGCCGACAGCCTGAAATGATGCAAAAGAAAAGTCTGTGCGTATTATACACAACAGATATATTTTCCAGAATTTAATTGCTCATAATTAAGGGTGCATATAACACACGAGTGAGTATTATACACGAATAAATAAGTCTTGTGTACCGTATATCGCTGTGTATAAGGCGACCCCACGTATAAGACGACCCCCCTGTACACGCCTTAAAAATCAACCCAAAATCCTATACTCCGTGTATAAGGCGACCGGGAATGAAACATATCACAAGTCTGACTGATATAGAAGATTAACGTGCTCTTTCCGACTGTAGCGTATTTCGCACACGGACATCAGAAGTTAGTTAGTTACTTTGGAGATTTAACGTGCGCTTTCCGACTGATGCGTATTTCGCACACATCACAAGTGCGCACACAAACCTTATATATGCAATAAAAATATGTTTATCTTGCGTTGTTTTTTTTCTACAACGATAGGTCGCGTGTGTAACTCCAGCACACGTCGCCATTTTGTGTTTACACGGTACGACACCAAATTGGGGCCCGTAAAATAAAATTCATTTATGAAGTAATAACATATAAGAGACAATGGTGAGTAATTTAATCGCCAATTAACTATGTTGTAACTAACTAGGCTTATGTTTGCTTCACATTCAGCGTGTTTATTCCACAATCACTTGTACACACCGTCTCCAACACTTGTTAATACAACTGTAAAAACAGCGGGAATTGATTTCAGCTTCACCGGTTATCACATGTTAGGTCACATGTGCAATATGCAAATGCTTACCGGTACTTCCGGCTCTCTACTCGCGGATGTTGATTGTTTTACCGTGTCAATCTGCATCGAGGCGAGGGTCATTTCAACTTTATTTGCAGAAATTATTAAACTTTATTCAAGGAAAAGAGATACAAATCATGTTTATGTATGGAAATAGTTATTGGAACAGTTATTGAGGACGAAATGCGAAGTTTTATTGTCAAATGCTGGGCTGGCTATCGGACGCCGGTTGACATCGCTAGTGGGAAAAAATGTGAGATCTTCGACTCCGTGTATAAGACGACCCCCCTTCTTAGCCCCCTTATTTTAGGTACGAAAAACTCGCCTTATACACAGCGATATACGGTACATTGATCAATCGGAAGGGGTGCTAATTGGGATTGTTCACTAGCCAATATATTAGCAAATATTGCCGTGGGCGCTTATTAGAGCGGGGCGCTTATTACGTCGAATACGGTATTTATGTCTGACTATGTAACATGTCTTTGTTGATTTACTAAAAAGTAAATAAATAGAAAACATAACTAAAAGTGTCTATATTAAAAAGGGATGTAACGGATTAGATATTCGGGGGTGGGGTGGGGGAGGGAGAGAGGGAGTAAACAAACTTCAGACTATTGGTAAAAAAAAATAAAAAATAAAAAATAAAAAAATACATTGTTGCAAGATGATTGAACAAAATTATTTAGGCTTATAGTATTCGAACACGGTGCTGAATCATTATCAGGGCATACACTGTAGCTGAAAAATATCTTGTCTCCAATAAAATCCCTCCCATCACTCCCCCTACCCCCCAGGATATCAGTCCTTAACAAGTATGGCATTTTATTTATATTGTGTGTATGAACAACAAATGGAAAAAATCTTTTGACAACTTGATTTCAACTAGAAATAGGAAGCTGTAACAAATTGGTATCAAAAGAGTTATAAACAACATTTATATTTCTTGCCAGTACGATTAAGAATTGGACTCTGTACAAGCTAGGAAATATGGATAAAAGTGTCAAAAGCTCAATTTCACTATCCTGTCCTAATTCTCGAGAATAGTTTGCAGGTTGGAATAGCCTGCACCCTCATATTAACATAAATATACCAAGGATACGTGATAGATGTTTTGTAGAGACAGAATATTGTGTCAATGGCAGCTTCAAGACATTCAATGTTAAATGGAGGAGTCAAGTATTTATTATTTATTTCCATAATACATTTATGAAGTACATCAAGCATGCTAGCGAACAATTATGTTTCTTGTAAAAACCACAGGCAATTATTTGTTCAATAATCTCTGGAGGAAATTTCTTTCTTTTTTTTAAATCACACACACATGCACGCAAATGCCCATACACATTCATGCATGCACACACATTCACATGCACATGCACGCACATGCACGCACATGCTTACACTAACACACACACGACACCCCCTGAGAATGATGATAAGTCCATAAGTTTCCAGTGATAAAAACTAGCCGCAAGCAAGGTCATCCATGAAGCAACCCATGCTTGCTGTAAAAGGCGACTATGCTTGCTGTAAAAGGCGACTATGCTTGCTGTAAGAGGCGACTAACGGGATCGGGTGGTCAGGCTCGCTGACTTGGTTGATGCATGTAATCGATCCCAATTGCGTGGATCGATGCTCATGATGTCACTCACTGGATTGTCTGGTCCAGACTTGATTATTTACAGACCGCCGTCACATAGCTGGAATATTGCTGAGTGCGGCATTAAACAACAAACCAACCAACTTGAAGAAACAGTATTACAATGTATCGCCCCTTTATTACACAAACCCTTCATACTTTGTCCTTAGATTATCACCATGCATACACACACACATTAATATTTAGCACAGATCATCTTCACATAAACTGAATTTAATCCTATGACAATCACAAACAATACACAACTCCAAGTACCACCCCACGAATTAATGCTACAACACATTTCATCAACACTATCATGTTTCATCTAAGTCAAATTGACACAAAATATACCGTGACCTCTGACGTCATTTTTACACCCTTCTTTGAAATGTTAGCGACTCACACCGACGTAAGCCTTTGTTTGACATGCCGAGCACATTTCGTCTCACCCAGGCGCTAAACTTCACCATCTGGGGGATCATGTTGAGCGGTTCTACATACAGGTGCAATATTTGTCTAAAATCTTTACTGTCAATTGTGTTTACAAACGTATTCAACCTGTATCTGTTTATTCAACTTGTCCAGTTCTCCACGCGATATTTACACTCCCAAATTTGTAAGAACACAACATTCCGGGATTGCTATTGGTAGATCAGGCCTACTCCATGCCATTTCACTTCACTGTGTGTCTTTCGTTGTTGGATATGTCATGTATGACATCATTGTTATCTAAATCAGTGTGACATTTGCGTACGCCAAACAGATATTTACTAGGTCTGATTGGACTCTGAAGCACTCCGGTTTCTAATCTAATTAAACGGTAGGTTACCGTAATTACTCTAAAGGGCTCGCTGTTTCTTGTTCAGAATAACCACCTGATACAAGTCCCAGAAACCCGTCTCAAAACCTTTGGTCAGAGATCTTTCCAGTTCTGCGCTTCCTTGCTATGGATTGAGTGAGTGAGTGAGTGAGTATGGTTTTACCTCGCTTTTAGCAATATTCCAGCAATATCACGGCGGGGGACACAAGAAATGGGCTTCACACATTGTACCCATGTCGGGAATCGAACCCGGGTCTTCGGCGTGACGAGCGAACGCTTTAACCACTAGGCTACACGACCGCTCCCTTCGCTATGGAACAAACTACCATCTGATCTTAAGCTGTCGCCATCGCTTTCATCCTTTAAGGCTCATCTGAAAACACACCTTTTCACACAACACTATCAACTCTACTCCCCCTTTCATCAGCATTACTTGCTAAAACTATGTAGCGCCATGAGCATTAACTTGGTGAATGGAATCTGGCGCAGTATAAATGGACTTATTATTATTATTATTATTTATTAATGCCACACTCAGCAATATTCCAACAATATGACGGTGGCTACATAATCGAGTCTGGACCAGACAATCCAGTGATTGACATCATGAGCATCGATCCACACAATCTGGGTACGATGACACGCAAGTCCCCAAGCATGACAACCCGATCCATTGGGTCGCCTTTTACGACCGGCATAGGTTGCTGGGGACCAATTCTATCCCGGAGTACCCCTGGGCTATAGTGATTAAAGGAGTTGGGAGCAAAGGATGTTCAATGCATATTGAAAGCAAGTTTGAACCAGTTTTGTACTTTTGGAGCGATTACGGTAAATGATTTAGATTTGTCAAGATGAAAGACAGCTACTGAAATGAGAATTGACAGCAAACCACAATAACAGTGATACACTAGCGCCATCTCCTTTTTCAACACACATTTATATTAATTACTGGATATTAGAGCTAAATATAAAAGGAAAAACTAGGCACTACCACTTACTATCAAAACATTTGTTTAAGAATTTAACCTGAAAACATTGAGGACATCAGCACTATAATGACTCATTCTGACATCAATCATGACAACGTTCGTCTCCGTGAGCTAGACAGTAAGACCTGATCAATCATCTAGGACACAAATATTTATATAAGATGAGGAGGCTCTGTATATTGTCTCCGGCCAGGATGAATTCTTCATAATTCATGTGACATTTCACTCTGTGGGTGGACTTGGCAGGTGAGACAGCAACAAACAGCACCAGACTGAAGGGACCAACTTTAAGATGCCGCCAGGATGTGCTGGGCCAAAAATATATTTTGAAATGCAATTCGGTCTTGTGAAAACTTATACTCCATCTCTAGTCACCAATTAACATTTAAGTTTTATTTTCATTACTTTAAGAACCTCTCAACATGGGAATTGTATTTTTTTATATTCGTGAGTGAATGTTGTTTTGTGAGTGAGTGAGCACTATTACAGAATATATCTGTGACCTGTTGGTTGTCAAGTCTGGGCCCGGCAAACCAGTGGTTGATAGAATGAGCACAGCGAGTGAGCACTATTACAGAATATATCTGTGACCTGTTGGTAGTCAAGTCTGGGCCCGGCAAACCAGTGGTTGATAGAATGAGCACAGCGAGTGAGCACTATTACAGACT